TCGGTCATCAACCGAAATCGCCTGCTCAGCTAGCTGAGCAGGCGATTTCGGTTGATGACCGATGAGTGAGTGTAACAAAACTGGTACACGGTCCCACAGGATCTGTAATTTTGTACTGAACCACGCCAACGGTCACTTACAGATATGTGGTCAATTTGGTTCAGCTTTCCTATTGAACTAGAACACCATGTAGCCGTTCGACGAGAGCTGTGTCAAAAGTTGGTGCTAGATAAGAACAGCCGATGATCCGTGCAGAACTGAAGTGGTCGATCACCGTTGTGTTCGCTGAGAGGGGAGGGCGAAGTGCCCCCCTAGACAGGCTTCGGATGCGCTCAGTTTTCCAACCTGTGCGTTCAAATCACCTGCCAGTATTATAATATCAGAACTGCGGCTCAACCGAATAAGTTCGGTGAATCCGTCATAAAATTCGTCCTTTTGTGAAGTGGGACTGCAGTTGGTTGGCGCATATACGGAAATAATAAACAAACTACTTTTGGTGTTGCTGCCCTTCTGAACACTAACTGAACCCCGGAGCCTAATTGTGCACAAGCGACTATTGACGGGTATCCAGTTCATCATAGAGGCTTCAGCTTTATCGTTTAGTACGATCCCTATATCACGCTGACCCAGTGAGCGGGCTGCGTTGTCTCCTGATGTGCGAAGGAAATACCTCGAGGACAGACCCGGCGCACTCAGGTGGCTTATAATACTAGGATTCTGAATCCTTGTCTCCGATACACAACAGATATCAATTTCTAGAAACTGCATTGTACGCGCAAGACACGCCTGTTGACCCACCTGCATAAGAGTTATCACGTTGAAAGCCCCCAGATTGAGAAGTTGACGAGGCTTCAGAATCTGCACTTTATTTACAGGAAAACTAGTAACAGTGCTATTTGGCAAAGACCTTTGGCGAGTGACGAACAAGTTATCTGAAGGAATATTACGGGTCTGATGACGAGGTAGAGGGATAGGGTTCTGTACGGAAGACAAAGAGTTAAACACAGGTTGGGATATCGGAGCAGTAGCCCACTTATCACTACCTACCCCGCTCAATGCAATGGGCAGCGCGGTCCTGATTATCCTGAGCGACGACCGATGCAGTATGGAATTATTTTTTGGTTGTGTTCATTGGAGCTTTATGGACGGGTACTGCCAGGGTGTCCAGCCATTAAGCAGGAGAACGATTAGGGTTCTCAGCCAAAGCCTTAAGATCTGACAAGAACCTAACCGCAAGGCAGCAGTTAAGGCGGATTGGAGGCCCAGTAACTTGGATCAATTATTCCTCCAACACGTTTTGACGACTGAGACGCCGACTTAAGTCGAACCCGCAACCTGGAGGACCAAGAGACTGGACTTTGTCTGACCTCAACCCATTGACCTTCCAGGCACGATTAGAGTTTTGGCTCGACAAAAGCCATCCTGTGTAGCTCGTTGAATCACAGAGGTGCACAAGCCATCATACAACGTCAATATGTAGTCTCGTCACATCCAAACAGCTTCCTGTATCTGAGGGAAATATTTCGAGGAGAACCAATATCCAAGAAGCATTACGATGGTTACGTCGTCCTTCTTCATGGGCTAGATGTTACTCGTATCAACAAACACAACATTCAGATCGCTTTTCTATGGTTTGATCATGAATGGGGAAAAACCCTCGGAAGAACATGAAAGCTTTCGCGGTTCTTATCACGGATTCGGAGCGCAAGATTAAGAATGATTTGACTGAAAAGTACCACTTGTCTCCTATTCTCACTGACACGGTGAGGATCTGTAACGAACTAATTTGAAACTTACAAAGAAGAACATCTCTTTAAGTTTTATCATTGTTGTATATTAATTTTCATTTTATTTTGTATCCCATTGTAACGGTGAACACATTTTTGACTGAAATGTAGACACAGTCGCCTGCACAAGTCATCTATAATACAAAAACGATGAAACTGACGGTACGCTCTAATAAAATGTCAACATTCACACTGTTCAGCGAATGCTAAAATGCACAACACAAAATAGATAATACAATGTAGATCGAGGTCAAATCAACCAGCATTCGAATCCCATGGATATACACTCGGATTGATCCCTAACAATGATGGAAGGTAGCTTTGCTGTAGGTCGGCTCTATGTCACACCCAAACTAGTAGGGCCTAATGTGGTTCGGCATTCCAAGTTCCGGTCTCCATGAGCGAACAGCAGGTGATCCAGACTACAGAGTTTAGTCCATCTATTCTTTATCACACGAGAGTGCAATAAGAAAATGAGACACTACCATAGTTCCTCAGCAGTGAGTGAAAAATTGCTGCTGCATGACGAGTACACGGACAACTTAAATCCACAAAACGAAGCGCTCAATTATACGCAACCGGTAATTATCAATCTCTCAAAGCTCCCATTAGTGGAAAGTAAACACAGATGACTGCTCTCTTCACATGTTTGAGGCGGACAAGAACAGCGCTGAGAAACAAACGACTGTCGTAAAATGAAGCGCAAGGTACAAACAGTTTCCGTCAGCAATGCGTGTTATTCAGACTTGTGAACACAAATTACAATAAAGCACCAGGTGCAAGATGCGTCCGACGCAAGAAGCAAATATGGTGGTAAGATGGATCTTGTGTCATCCAGGGAGATTCTCTAGTAGATCAGCGCGACCTTGTTCGATCACATGGATCTCATGCTTAGAGTGAATGTAAGAGACGATAAAAGTAGTCAGAACAGTTAGTGATCGGGCGGTTCAAACGGACGGCACTAGCGGGATCCGGACCCCTAAGGTTTGAATGCTGTCATCACGACTCTATTCTGGTCGTATGCAGCTCCGTTGTAGTTCGGTTCAACATTTCCATCTTGTTTGGGTCTCATTTAGATCGCCACTACAAGCCCTAGGATTTAGATCACCAGTTCTCGTGATCAAACACTGTGACTATGACGTCCGCAAAATTATTTTTAAAGCTGCACATTAGCGACATGTAAGTGAACAGGAACGAATCTTTCCAACGAAAGTAACTGAACTGGGTGTACACGAGAATTTTATTCAATTGTACAAATTTAATCCCCTTTCATAATAAAAAAGGCAGCCAGATATGGTGGGATGGGACGATGGGGAGGGCAGTGGTTGTGGTGTGTGTGGGGAACCGAGTGGTGCTTCACATACTTGTGTACATTTTACAAAAAAAGAACGCTTAAAAAAGTACCGCGATAGTAGTAACTAGTAATAAATCAAAATTAATCTAATATATGCAGACGCGCACGGAAATATTTATAATAGATAGCTGGTTGTTTGTATGTATGTGTGTTCGTGCACGCACGTAGAGGAGATTGAGACAAGAACAAGAGAGAGATTTGGTTTCACTTTTGCGAGGATGCAAAACGAGCTCAATGTAGAAGGAACAACAGATCACTCACTCGCATCTTATCGCGGGAGCACATAAACACACACGAGCACACGCGGCTCAGACAAGAACAACGAAGACAACATACCGAGTAATGACCAGAAAATCGGGGTGGGGAGACAGGAACGACTTAATGGAAAACATGTAAACGAGAAANAGTCCAGCAAGGTTGTGTTTGTAGCACGATAACAAACGAAAATTGACCGACCATTCGAACAGAAGGAATCGTTGAGGATGATGATTTACAGAACTAACAAGGTCGGTGAACACAGCTCAAATGCAATTTGAAGTAGGCATACACTCACACACATAACAATTAGTAGGCTCATAATATCCTCAAAGGTGGCCAATAGAAAGAGTCAAAGAAACTCGCAATTGTTTGTGTACATATTTTTTACAAACAGCAAAAGCAGCCAGATGTAGTGGGCAGGATAGGTACAAAGTCCATATACCGATAATGAACAGTAATGGTATATGGAGCAGCCAAAGTGAAAAGGTGTATATTCTGCAATGTTATGGTAGTAATAGGAGGGAGAAGAAAAAGAACAGTGATACAATGCAGCTCCGTACATGTGGCGAAAATGCTTAGTGGTTGGTGCCGATCAGGCGGGGGTTAAGGAATTAAATCCATAACTTCAATATGGTGCGGGCACATTCCTCAACCAAAGGTTTAGGAAAAATTGGTGATAGGATGGGCTGGGCAGAATCTGGTCGAAATTTGTACAAACACAGCAATAGGCTGGTAGCCATGAGTGGTGGGAATGGGGACAGCGACGACAAAGCGCACAATGCTGATCCGCAATTCATAATGGTGGACAAAAACGGTAAGCACAAGCCTGAGGGGTAAATGTGTGATCACAACGTGGAAAAGAAAAACAAGAGTGACAGAAGAATTGATGGGAGAAACGGGAACCGAAAGAACGGAGGTTATCAGCTAGATCGTCTTAGGCTGTCTGTATATTATACACACTTAGCATTATTCACTGAATTTGGATCCAAAACGAGACTGCTAAGAGCCTCTCGCGTCCAAATCTACATTAAACACGGGGGGTCGCGGGACGGATGACGATAGGAAGGATCCGTGATACCTTCGAAGTCGGGTATGGGACTGTGGGGTCCGGAGAAGTGGTAACAAGTCACGGGGTAAACATTCGTCTGGAAGCGGTTTGGTAGGCAAGAATGGGCCAATTGACCCAGAATTCCTCCGAGTTCGGTTACAAATGGATAAACACTGAGCAACAATACGACTGGCATCATTAGTTCGCAGACTGCCATCACTCGGCGAACAGCCCATAACAACTTCCGACAGAAGGGGCAGTTCGCTGAGCAACCATCTGAAAAAGATAATAAAACAAAGATACTGACAATTGGCGATAGCACAAAATAATATCTATGTTCTGCCGCTGGCCTGTAAAGTCGAAAAAAAAACAGTTCTAAAACATGAATCAGGCAGTTAGTTATGCAAACAAGGAGCTTGATTTGAGCTCAACATTATAACATGATCCATTCTTCAATCAACTGCGCCATCCCAGGGTTTACATCTCGAATAATCCCAGCCACATGCGTATAATGTGCGAATCGCTCACATATGATGTGATTTGTCATTATCTTCTACGTTGAGTCAATGGTTATTGAACAATATGTCACTACAACAGACGTCTCGAGAATATATTCATTAATTCCGCTTACAGCTTTGTAATCATTACCATCCCGGAACTACATAACGCTGGATTATTCGAGAGCTTCTAAGACTCACAGGCACTGGTCGCTTCGTTCAGCAAAAACACGAGATGGATGAACCGACAGGAAGTACGAACAAGTATTCTCAATCGTTTATGCTAGCCATGTGTCATATTACACCTATAAAATATAGTGCTAGTGCATAGAACTATTGATCGCAATAAGAGCAAACATTCTAGTATACGCAAGCGGAAACCGAGAAAAAAAAACACTCACGTGCGAGCTTCCTCAATATAAGTAACCAGATTACGTATAACCAAAGCCGCCGAAACCCTTAAATGTTTTGTTACTGGACCCTCACGGGGAGGCGGTGCGACCATAGGTGTTTGCGGATGATGCGGGTTCGGCCCCAGTATGGGTAACGGCAGTCGGGAGTAAGGATTGGCGGATACAAAATGATGCTGTGCCGCCCACAGGTCCAGTTGCATCTGTTTGGCTTCAAGGGAACGAACGATAGTCCATGCGGAAGAATCACCCGAGGGAGACGAGGACATGTCCGCATGCACTGTGGAACAGAGATTTTGTAAGTCAGAAAGAGATGACGAAGACGAAGGTGGAGCGGAAGAGGACGATGTACTCGATGCAGAAACGGGCATCAGTCGTGGTTGGGCTCGGGACTGCGATCGGTACAAAGCGGCATCTAGTTCCATTGGACTGCAATGCACATCGAGCACATGCGTAAGCAATGCAAATGGAGCACGAGCCAGCGAAGATGAGGAACAGCCACGCCACCGACAACAACGTCGCACGGGAAGGGCCGGATGTATGTAGGCACTCGATTGTGAACTAGAGTCCGCCAACTTTGTTGCCAGATGTGTGAGGTATACGTGTGAGGATACCTGCAGAAGCAAACAGACATGAATTATGCATGATGCTAGACAATACTGATGCTACTACGGGAATAAAACGGCATGGAAAGTTGTAAATATATATTTTTGAAAGTACAATCAGTAATACTCAATACGACAGAAGTTTATCGACGGTGGTGAACAATTTAGTTAAAGAAACCTTGAGGTCGGTTACTGGAAACGGAAACCAAAGACCTGGGGCAAGGAGTAGAAAACTGCCAAAACCACCGTAACTGCGATCAGCACAGTTGAGTGATATCGGGTGTCTCAAATATCGGACAAAGATAGCGGTAGTTTGTTGTGAGTAGATAAGTGGTTGTGAACGATCAATGGCGATGCTTGAGGAGGTGGCGGGTATTTTACCTGCTTATCGAATCCCATCGAATAACCATAAAACTCGGTGAACGGCATCGCCACATGTGCGAATTTGGCCAGCTAGTCAACAGATCTATTGCCATGCGCTTCTTCATCGCAACACAAGAACAAGCTGGGTATCCCGGATCCATTAAATCAATCTGATGGGTGTACGAACCATAAGCATGGTCGGCAGATTTTAGTAACTAAGATCGTGTGCTTGTGCATTAAATGATCAATCTTAGATATAAATACAAATATGCATTGGTACAGGATATGAAGAAAAGTGGAGTTCAACGCAAGCGTATTGATTCACATTAAATTAAGTGCATGGGCCATTGCTTAACCGTTTATATAATATATATATATATATATATATATATATATAACAATCCAATTCAAAATAAACCTTAGTTTTGTGGATACTAAACGAATTATATTGTTTTACAATATACAGGAAGCATGAATGAATGAGCTACACACAAAAACTCCTATCTTAGGAGGCGACTGGCTGAGGTAACTCAATTGAGCGAAACGAGTATAGTTATGACGAGAAAGGGAAAACACATTGCGCTAGGAGTAAACAGAACAAAAGCGCAATAAATGAAGTGACCAACAATCAAGCCGAAAAGGAGCACAATATAAAATACCTGAGATTTATCTTCGAAGGACGCCGAGCAAGACTCCCATTCGCACAGGTACGACGGAGACACCGAGACTGTATCTGAGGTAGTTGAGATCGGGTTAGCGGCGTGCGTGTCAACATCCGGATCACCGGAATGTATTGGAGCAACCGGATCTGGATCTTTTTTGTCTGTCGCTGCAGTCTGATCCTGAGAGGTTTTACATGTGCTGCTCGACTGCGGTTCGTTTCGAGTCGGTTTCGTGGAGGACATCGATAGACCTAGCTCAGGAGACCATAAAGGTTTCCAACTGGGTCCGAGAACAGAATCTTGCAGTGGGATGGAATGAAAAGGTAGTGGTTTTAAAGGACTAGTGGCATTAGCTGATTTCGACGGAGAATCCAAACTGGGGCGTCTTGCGATTAATGTATGAGCATGTTCACGACGTCGT